TGGAGGAATCCTCTGCAGGGGCTTTGCTGTCCCTGGGTCTCCCCTGCCACCCCCACCAGTCCCCTCCAGACTCTGACTCTGGGCCTTTGCATCTCCTCTTATTCCCACACTGGAAGGCCCTGCAGCCTGTGCACAGCCAGTCTCCAGATCCCCGTGCAGCGCTGACCCACAGCCCGCACGTGAGATGTGACTGGCATCCCTGCATTTCACAGACGAGGATCAGGAGTCCCGTGTAGGAAGGACGACCCCCACAGTCACACGGCCAACAGGAACCTGATCTGACCGGGGGCTCCGGCCCAGGCTCCTGACCGCCGAACCGGCGCGCCTTCCTCTTCACCAATAACAGCAAAGAAAGGGGATCAGGCAGGGTGACAGAGTCGAGGGACACCAAAGGGGCCACTGCTTGGGGTCAGGGTCCTCCAATCCCTGGGCATCCAAGGATCTCAAAGCAACTCCTCCCTCTGGTGAAGGCAATGAGTCCGCTCTCTGGTATCTGGTCAAAACCAATCGCCATGCTCGTCAATTTACAGGTATCTCCTGATATCACCAGCATAGCCGCCTTGTCTTGTGGGCAGCTGTTATTCCATTTACAGATGGGGAGACTGAGGCTAGGAGATGCTGGCGAGCCCCAGAGCAGAAATTTCTGCCAGGGCCTGCCTGACTCCTGGGCGGCCGCTCTCCACTGCTTGGGTACAGAGGGTCCGAGGAGGGTTTGTGTATTTCATCTGCCCATAATGTCTCATCTTTTTTCTCTAAAATAAGTTTTCATCATCCTGACTTTCTTGTTTTAATGTTTATTTATTTATTGAGAGAGAGAGACGGCACAAGAAGGGAGGGACAGAGAGAAAGAATCCCAAGGGGGCTCTGCATTATCAGCACAGAGCCTGGTGCGGGGCTTGATCTCACAAACCATGAGATCATGACCTGAGAGGAAACCAAGAGTCGGATGCTTAACCGACTGAGCCACCCGGGTGCCCCACCCTGACTTTTTCTGTAGAGTCCCGGCCCAAATTAAACCCAGGGTCGTTTTCTCTCAGTGGAAAAAAAATATCACATTTGTTGGGGAGGGAGGAGAGAGATGAGTTAAATAGAAAGAAAAGGTAGAAAGGAGTTTAGTGCAAAGTTCCGTCTTCCTCTCTAGATGATCAGTCCTCGCTGGTGTCAAACCGGCCAAGTGTTGTTCCCAGCTGCCCACACCTCTCCCTGAAACCTGCTGTGGCTCACACCGCCCTCCAGATAAAGTTCAGGGGCCTCACTGCAGCCCAGAGGCCTTGGTGGAGGGCCCTATCTCACCACCTCCGCGCAGACCGTAACCTTCCGCTCATCAGTAACCTCCCCAACAGTGGAACTTTCCATCACATACACCCCTTGCTGCAAATGCCCTCACCCCATGTTCACCCGGCTCACCTGTCACCACCTTCTATAATCTGCTTTGTCCCCAGGTGACCACAGGAGTCCTTACCACGCTGTGCCGCTGTATGCTCATGGGAGCGGCCCTTCTGGACTGGGAGCTCTTTTAGGGCAGATCTCTGGTGTAGACAGCTCCAGATGATCTCCCTGGCACGCAGCGGGCTTCCAGAAAAGGCCCCTGGACCCCTGGATCCACCAAGCCTCTTGGAACTCTCCCAGTCCAAGCATATCTAGGGCCCCAGTCCTAACGCCATTCTCCAAAGCTGTCCCCAGAGCTCCCCCACCCTGACCTGACCACACCCTGGCACCTCAGGGTCCTGGGCACAGCCCTACCCAGAACCAAGACATGGGGAAGCCGCCCAGCACTGAGTTTGGAACCTAGGAAAACACTCCCTCCGTGTCAGCTTAGGTGAGGCGGGTCATCCTGGGGTCTGTTTGCTCTGTCTGCCCACGACAACACCAAGGTTGTCCAGCGTCCCATGGGCCTGAGTGTGTGTGTGCGTGTGTGTGTCCACACGGGGCTGGCTGGTATGTCTGAGTTGTGTGTGTGCGCGTGTGTGCGCGTGTGTGTTCCCTCCGAGGTATCTTTGCCTGTGTCTACATGTGTGAAAATGACGGTGTCCTGTGCCCGCCCGTCTTCCTGCACCCCAGTGCGTGTCTCTGCACCCCAGAAGCAGTCAGGTGCCCAGGAGACCTCCCCAGGGGTGACGGCCAGGGGCACGTGAGAAAGCCACCTTGTGTTCCTCCCCTGCTCCTCCCAGCGAAGGATCAGTTCACAGACCCCAGGCCGGGTGACTGGGGGGGGGGGGGGGGGGGGGTCCCTGGGGCAAGACTGGGGGGACGCAGTCCCTGGAGACCTGGTAAGGAACGCAGCAGTGGGGCCAGGAAGCAGCGCTGGGGGCTGCAGAGCTCCCGGGACCCCGGAGACGCCGATGAGCCGCAGGGTTTGCAGGGAGACGGGAGGGCAGGGCCGGGGGCTCCTCCGGGGCCCCCTCCTCACTCACTCACCCGCGCCGAGCCCGAGCCCGGGTCCCAGCACCAGCAGCGGCAGCAGCGGCAGCAGCATTCCTGGCGGGCTCGGAGGCAACGGACTCGGGGACGGCTGCAGGTGCGGGCCGCTCCGGCGGCGGGAGAGCTCTCGGGGCGGGCGCACCGGCGCCCAGCCGCCCAGCTGCGCCCCGCCCCGGCCTCAGCCGGCCCCCACCCCGCCCCCCAGGGCCCCCGGCGCGCGGGCGGGGCGCGGCGGGCTGGCGCAGCCGGACCTCCGCCGCCGGGCCCCCAGATGCGCCGCGGGGGCGCCGGGCGGGCGGCAGAATCGGGCTCCCGGTGGGAACTGGGGACACTCATGGAGGGAGGGGACAGGTCGGGTCCGGGAGTAAACGTCCAACGAAGGTGCTCTGCTCGCGGTTGTCACCTGCAGCCCCCCTCCCTGCGCGCACCTGGGCGCCCCCCAGGAGCCCCAGGCTTGGGGGGGAGAGGAGGAACCGAACTGAGGATCTTAAATCGTTTACGTGGAGGAAACGTGGCGCTCCTGAAACTCGGAATCAACCCTCCGCAACCACCCGCTACCCCTCACCACCGCACGACCTTATTAGGGAAACTGAGGCAGCCAAAGATTTGCCCTGGACGGAGCCGGAATCGTAGGGGAGAGGGACGAGGGTGCAGATGGGTCTGAGCAAAACCCACAACGCATTCCCTTCTCGCCTCGGGCTTCTCCTCTGCTGGGGGCGAAAGGGGCCCCGGGAAGGTCCACGCAGCAGGAGCCCAGTCCTGGAGACAGACGACAATCGCGACGCTCAGGACAGTCGCGACACGCACACTCGTTCGTGCCCCTTTGTCGCTGATGCTAGCCCGACCCAAATTAGTCAGCAATTTCTGTTGATTTTGAGTCATAACTACTTCTGGAGTGGAACCTCAGACCTTCACCATCCGCAACACAGGCGATGATGACTCATGGGCTACACGTGCTGAGAGCGCCCAGCACCTGATCTTATCACCACCGCAGACCTCTGAGGTCCCCATTTCACAGGAAGAAACTGAGGATCGGAGAAGCTAACAACCAAGAATGAGAAGAGCCCAGGGGAGCCTGGGTGCTTCGCTCAGTTCAGCTTAAGCGCAGGACCTCAGCTCAGGTCATGATGTCCCGGGTTTGTGAGTTGGAGCCCCAAATCCGGCTCTGTGCTGACAGCTCAGGGCCTGGAGCCTGCTTCGGATTCTGTGTCTCCCTCTCTCTCTGCTCTTTCCTGGCTCTCTCTGTCTGTCTGTCTCTCTCTCAAAAATAAGTAAGTATTAAAACAAGAATAAGAATTAGGAGAACGCAGATTCAAATTCCTTTCCGGATGGTGCTGAGTCGCCATCTGCCTCCTTCCGTGAAGACCTGAGGCATCAGGTGTCCCCACTGGAGTGAGCTTCAGTAGGTGTTCAATGAAGGCTTGCCCACTTAGGGAGTATGGGTGTCAGACATCCCAAAACATGGGGTAAAAAAACTAACACATTTTCTTCCTTCTCAGGGTCTCCCATGAACATCAGGAGGTGAAATAAACCATTTAAACCCAAGGGAAATGTTTCTGGTTTCAAGGAATTCCCCAGTCAATATAAACAGAGGAAAAGCTAACTTTCCACGATAGGTCCATTATAATTAAGAAGTCAGGAAAATCTGTTCTCAATATTATAACTTTTGTACCCAGACTTTACCGCTTTAACTGGTTAGCCGCCATCATCTGCAAGGCTCATTTGCACAGAATAATTTGTTCACAGTTATGTTAGAAAACTGAGACGTTGAAGGGGAGGGCGCCTAGGTGGCTCAGCCAGTTGAGCATCCGACTTCAACTCAGGTCATGATCTCACGGTTCGTGGGTTCAAGCCCCACACTGGGCTCTGTGCTGACAGCTCAGAGCCTGGAGCCTGCTTCAAATCCTGTTTCCCTCTCTCTCTGCCCCTCCCCCATTCATGCACTGTCTGTCTCTGTCTCTGAAAAATGAATAAACCTTAAAAATTAAAAAAAAAAAAAAAAGAAAACCGAGGCATCGGGACCATCACCAAAAATACCAAAGTCACACTCTCCTCCATTATCGTATTAAAAATAACCAAAATTATAAATGATGTGCAAAGGTGCCTCCGTTGAATGTGCCAAGAGATAAGGGGACAGCACAGAATGGAGTGGAGTCAGAAGTGGGTTCACTTCCTAAGGGGGAGTTATATGTACCAATGAACTGTGCCCTGGTGTTAGGGTCTGAGTCTAAACACGCCTTCAGGCTTCAATCTGGTCCATTGACAAAAAGTTGCTACCAACGTTTGGTCAGTGAAATGGTTTCTTCTCCTGTGTGATAGAGTGGGTATCTCCTTTGACTGGAAGGTAAAATAACTCTCTACACATATAGGGGAACATGTGAATCCACGTGATTTCTCCAGCCCATGAAACCCCAGAAAACAGAAGAGTGAATCCTCAGACAGACCAGCACACCCTCTGACCCAGCTATTTTTAGGGGCTAGCTCTAAGAAAATCAAATGCTTAGACAAGATTTATGCACAACGTTGGTCACGACCAAAGAGGAAAAACCTGGAAACAACCTAAGTTTCCAACAATAAAGTAGTTGTAACTTTATGGGAGTTTTCATATGCCAGAATACGCATTCATTCTACTAGAGAACGTTTTTGAAGAATATTTAGTGGCCATTTACAAATGCTTTCATTTTTTTTTAATGTTTATTTATTTGTCAGGCGGGGGGCAGAGAGAGAGGGAAGCACAGAATCTGAAGCAGGCTCTGAGCTGTCAGCACACAGCCCGATGCAGGACTCGAACCAACGAACCACGAGATCATGACCTGAGGTGAAGTCAGATGCTTAACCGACTGAGCCACCCAGGTGCCCCTAAAAATACTTTAAAAATAGATGGCTGGGTGGTTCGGTCAGTTGAGTGTCTGACTCTTGATTTTGGCTCAAGTCATGATCCCAGAGTCATGGGATCGAGCCCCTTATTGGGCTCTGTACTGAGTGTGGAGCCTGCTTAAGACTCTCTCTCTCTCTCTCTCTCTCTCTCTCTGCTCCTCTCCTCCACTCACATGCTCTCTCTCTCTCTAAAAAAAAAAAAAGCTTAAAGCAGAAGTTACAGAATAATCCTACCTTTACCTTTATAATTACAAGCTATACAACTGAGACAGAGCCATGTATGAGCCTCTTTATTCACATACCCAGTGCACACAGATCCATGGGGCTCCCTGGAGGGAGATGGAAAAAGAAAGATAGGAAAAATGAATGAAAGGTATCAAAATGTAATACTGATTATCTTTTGTAATTCCAGTAAAATTAACATACAGTGTTATATTAGTTTCAGGTGTACAACATAGTAATTCAACAGTTCTATATAATACTGCTCAGAGCTCATCATGATAAGTGTACTTTTAAAAAAAATTTTTAATGTTTATTTATTTTTGAGAGACAGAGACAGAGTGTGAGCAGGGGAGAGGCAGAGGGAGAGGGAGACGCAGAATCCAAAGCAGGCTCTAGGCTCCGAGCTGTCAGCACAGCCTGATGTGGGGCTCGAACTCACGGACCTTGAGATCATGACCTGAGCCAAAGATGATGCTTAACCAACTGAGTCACCCAGGCACCCCTAGTAAGTGTACTCTTAATCCCCTTCACCTATTTCATCCATCCCCTGCTCACTTCCTCTCTGGTAACCATCAGTTTGTTCTCAGTATTTAAGAGTCTGTTTTTTGTTTGTCTTGTTTTTTCTTCGTTGTTTCTTAAATTCCACATATGAGTGAAACCATTGTTCTTTTCTGACTTATTTCGCTTCGCTTTATACCCTCTGGCTACAGCCATGTTGTTGCAAATGGCAAGATTTCATTCTGTTTTATGGCTGCGTAATATTATCTATATGTATGTATATATATAATGCCACATATTCTTTATCCATCTATTTTTAAACACCTGGGTTGTTTCCATATCTTTTTTTTTTCTAGGAGAGAGAGAGAGAGAGAGAGACAGCATGAGCAGGGGAGGGTCAGAGAGAGAGGGAGTCACAGACTGAAACAGGCTCCAGGCTCTGAGCTGGCTGTCAGCACAGAGCCCAACGCGGGGCTCGAACCCACGAACCGCGAGATCATGACCTAAGTGAAAGTCCGACACTTAACCGACTAAGCCACCCAGGCGCCCCTCCATATCTTGACAAGTGTAAATAACACAGCTATACACATTGGGGTGCAAATATCTTTTCAAATTAGTATTTTCATATTCTTCGAGTAAATACCTACTAGTGGAATGACCGGATCATACGCTGGTTCTATTTTTAATTTTTTGAGGAACCTCCACACTGTTTCCCATGTGGCTGTGCCAGGTTGCCTTCCCACCAACAGTGCACAAGGGTTTCTTTTCCTCCATAGTCTCACCAGTACTTGTTATCTCTTGTGTTTTTGATTCTGATTCTTTTTTTTTTTAATTTTTTAATGTTTTATTTATTTCTGAGGGAGAGAGAGAGAGACAGACGGTGTGAGCAGGGGAGGGTCAGAGGGAGAGAGAGATACAAAATCTGAAGCAGCCCCCAGGCTCTGAGCTGTCAGCCCAGAGCCCGACGCAGGGCTCGAACCCACAAACCGTGAGAGCATGACCTGAGCCGAAATCGGTCGCTTAACCAACTGAGCCACCCAGGCACCCCTGATTCTTTATTTTTTAACATTTATTTTTGAGAGAAAGACACAGAGCATGAGCAAAGGAGGGGCAGAGAGACAGGGAGACACAGAATCTGAAGCAGGCTCCAGGCTCCGATGGGTCAGCACAGAGCCCAAATTGGGGCTCGAACCCATGAACGGAGAGATCATGACCTGAGCCGAACTTGGACGCTTAGTCGGACACAACTGACTGAGCCACCCGGGCACCCCAGATTCTGCTAATTTTCTGAGGGTAGAATTGCTTGAATCTTATTTTATCTCTTGATTTTTCAAATGTCTATGGGAACCTCAACGTTTGTGATTCAGAAGGGAAAAAAACGGACACAAAGCCATAAGCTTTAGTTCAGTAAAGCTTGCCTCTTGAAAAGTTGTCTTGGTATTATTCTAAAAACACAAAAACAAAGTCATAAAAATAGAGATA